AAAAAACTCTGTTCGATATTCTTTTCCAAAAATTCTTATTTTTTTATTACATTTTATTATTTACAGTGCATTGAAGAAGAGTATAAAACAAAAAATATTCCTAACTTAAAATGTTTAAAAAAAGAACAAAGTCAATGATCCTAGGTGCAATTTTTACTTTAATTGCATGTTGCTTAATTAAGACAAAGCATTGTGAACCCAGATTATTTCCAACTTTGTTACCCGTAAATTCACCATTAAAACGAAAATCCAAGTCTCAAAATTTGTCAAAAATTTGCTTTTCTTATTTCCATAGACAAACTATATAAGGAAGCAGTAAAACCAAATGAATTATTACAAATCAATTCTGATACAGTGAACAATTCAACTATGTGACAGTGTACAGCAGTGTAAGTTTTATTTATATTTAGATCTTTAACATATCATATTATTTTAAACAGACTCGAATAAATTTACTAGTGATTAACCCAATTAAGAAATAACTGAAATAATAAGATTTAGTTGTAAAATTCACAACATTCAAAATTAGTGGGAAATTTTTGAAGATAGCTAAAATAATGCCAATAAAAGTAATCTTTTTTGCCAAATCAATGTCTAAATTGAATGGAATTATATTACAAAATGAGTCTGTGTTAAAAAACTGCATGCCTTATTATTGCATGAGCAATTAAAATTCTATTTTAATGCAATTTTGAGCAGAAAAAATGAAATAACGAAATTCAACGTTTTTTAAAAATTAGTTAATGTTTTTAGCTGTTAATTTATTTTTCAAAAACGGCTAATTCGTTTCCTTAACGATTTAAAATTAACACTTTTTGCCCAGCCCTTATACTGAGTATATTTAAGTTCAGACCTGTCTGTCAAAAACAAGTTTAGCAAGTATATTTAATAATGCAAAAATAGTTTACAGCACAAGTTTCCTTCAGAAGCAGAAAAATTATCATAATCAGGATTAATATTCAACTTCAAGATTATATATTTAAAACTATAGAAATTAGTATCAATATACAACTAAAAGATTTTTTTAAAAGAAACTAAAGAAATCAGAATCAATATACATACAACTTTGAGATTATTAAAAAAACTATAGAATTAGCAATTCTTCAAAGATTTCAAAGAAAGAATCAAGTGAATTTAGACCACAGATTATTGTATCTTACAAGTAAGAACAAATATGAGGATTAAAGGAATGAGGAAAAATCTTGGAAAAGAAGCTGCGAAATAACAATTAAAATAAAAATTTTGAAAGAGTAGATTGAATAAGAGTTTAGTGTGTTTGCTACTTTTTAAGTGTTCTGTTATAATGCACTTGCCAATCATTTCAAATATCACTGCTTAAAACTATATATTTGGTTTGTCTGTCAGTTTGTTTGCATCCAATAAACATCCTAATAAATGAACTATTCAGTGAATGCCCAAAAATAATTTTTGGCAAGCTACAAGACCCCAGGAAAGAATGGTGGACTTGTGGAGGGTGATATGTCAAAATTTTGACTATAAAGAAGGTTCACATTTTTTTAGATAAGCCTTGTCTTTAAATTTTTCCTCTGATAATTTGAGTTTAGTTTGACCAGAGTTCATTGAGTATATCTAGGGTTGTTAATCGTTTTTGGAAATGATCGTTAACGATCGTTTTTTGTTTTGTTTTTCAATCGTTTTCAAAAACAATCTTTTCGTTTTTGGAAAAAAAACTATCTTTTTAAAAAAGGACCCACTCATTTGAACTTTTAGAAAACGAATAACGATCATTTTAGAAAGCGATCGTTTTTTTAATGAAGGGTCGTTGTTAACAAACTTTATAAAAACGGTCGTTTTTGGAAAAATGATCGATTTTGAAAAAAAATTAATTGCAACTTTATTTAATGTTGTCTTACATGAAGTTAGAAAGTTGTGGGATAGTTAAAACTTCTTGATATTTTCTTTAAAAACTACTCAATGATAAGTACAGATTAGGGCTGGGCATGTTTCGACTTTTTTTAAATCGTTCCGTTCCGTTCTAGAACGAGCGAGGGCCTTCAGCTAAATCGTTCCATTCTCGTTCCTTTTTTTTGTATCGTTCCATTACGTTCCGAATTCTGTCCTGTTCCATTCCGTTCTGAGTAGAAGAACAGTCTTCCTGTTCCATTCCGTTAATTCTTGGCGTTCTTATTTAAAGAACAGTTCCATCCATCTCGTTCCGTTCTTAATCAAAGAACGCTTCTTAGTATAGAACAATTACTAAAACTGGGTTACCTTAAAAAAGGGGGTGTACAATTTGTAGATTTTTGAAAAAAATTTAATTTTCATAATCAATATTTCAATAATATCAAAAAGAAATAGAAATAAATTATAGAAAACACTTTCTTTCAACCTAAATTCTCTCCCCCCCCCCTTCTCCTTTTTCCCCTTTCAGCTCCCATTCCTCAAGAATGTAATGCATGAAATCCTTGCCATTCCTTTTCTCCCCCTCCCCCTGCCGGCTAAACCAATGTATCACCTTACTTACGCTTGTACTTTTACCTAGCAACACATACTTACGCAATACTTACGCAAAATTATATTCTTACCCTTTTATAACCGTATTTTTTCCCTTTTACCCCCCCCCCCCCCCCCTCCTTACTTTCCTATATTATTGTGTCTAATGTCATTAACAATAATTCTATCTTTCAATTTTGGTTCACTACATACAGAGAAAATCTAAACTTGAAACACATTCCTGATTTAAATGCGTTCCCAACTTAGAACGTGTTTTTTAAAATAAGAAGGAGTTAACGTTCTGTTCCGTTCTTTTACCAATCGTTCCAAAGTTTTTTAGAACGCGTTCTAAGCGTTCGTTTTTTTTCGGAACGATGGGATCATTCTTGATAGTTCCGTTCGTTCGCGGGAAAGAACGATCGTTCCACCAGGAACGCGCCCAGCCCTAGTACAGATGCCCTTCAGGTTGGTTTCCTCTCTCCGTTAAGGATTGATAACAAAACAACAATTTTTATAAAAACGATTGTTTTTAATAACGATTGTTTGTCAAAAAGATCGTTTTAAAAACGACCATTTTTAAAGAACGAACTTTTTGAAAAACAATTGTTTTTATAAATGATCGTTACGTTTTCGATTTTTCATCGTCGTTTTCATAACAAAATGATCGTTTTTAAAAAAATGACAACGTTAACATTGTCTTGAGATAAATGTTTTTTATTTATTTAATTTTAGGATTCTTTTTTCCCCCAAGCAACAAAATAACAATTGCATCAGACTCTAAATTAAGAATTTTCAATGTTTCAAGACCGTTTTTACTAAGCAATAAAGAGGTGTGTCTGGTTTTTACGATTCAAAAAAATTCAACAAAGAATAAACAAACAATTTTAATGGGTATTTCAGGTCATTTGTTTAATTCTATTTCAATTGTATCTTTCATCACTTGATTTTTTTATTTCATGTCATGAGTTTCATAAAGGGGGTGGGGGGGGCTGTGGGACCAGGCCCTCCCCTAATTCCCCCCTGAACAGTCTGGGCAAAGTAAGCAGAAGTACAAAAATGGATGCCAGGGACTTATAACCTTATTATTCATAGTATAACGTTAATAAAATCCTTTACAATATTATTATGAAATGTGTGACGATCAAATATCGTTCACATATTTCATTTTTGAAATATGTTTTCTCACAAAAGAACAAATATTGTTCACAAATAACTGTTTACAGTTTGTAAATGGTCTATAATCGTTCAGAATCATTTCAAATTTTCTATATATATATATGTGCTTGATTAAGTAGAAGTCTCTGTTAGTCTGATCTGTCTGTTTATATTTTCGATGATAGCTCATAAACCCATCTACCGATTTTCCTTAAATTTTTATTACTGAGGAGAACTATGGAAATGTCTTCAGCTTAATTTAGAAAATATGAGCTTAATTCATAGTAACAAAGAATGTTTACAACCACATAAAAAAGTGGCTTGATATTAAAAACACCCCTGGCTATATTTGATATGAAGATGCATAGAAGTAAAGTTCTTTTTTTATGAAAATGTCTTGACTTGACCTCATTTTCCCCAAAACTTGTGATTTTTTTTTCTTCAGATTTATTTTCTTCATGACTTTTATTCCTGTGATCTTATTTCTTGAGACTTTATTGGCAGCCCCAATATTATTTTAGGAAATAACGTAGCAGGCATCTAAAACTCAGGACTTTCTTTCTAGTGACATTTTGTCCAAATGACCTAAGAAAATTATGACTTTTTACAAAAGTGATTAATTTCCAGGTTTTTTCCAGAATTTATTTTTCTTGTGACTTTTAAAATAGATTCCAAGCAACTAAGGTAAACAAAAGTAGGTTTTAAAGATGTAGACATTCAGAGTTTGTGGCAAAGACTCAATTCCTTTACACATTTCCTTTTTAGTCTGTAATTATGAAAGCTAAGCATACAAAAGCAGCCTTCAAATAGGAAATTCTATGTCTAAAGATATGATTGTAAGTCTCTAGAACTGAAAGGGTGTCTGTGGCATAATTTAAAGTGACTTTTCATACACAGAGTGCCATGCCTAATGGACAACAGTACCCTTAAAAGCTTTGTCTGATAAAGAATGAATTATTTATCTAAAACTATAATTTTCATCTGTTACTTCTCTACAAAAGTGACTTGCAAATATTTGCTGCAGCTAAACATTGAAGTATCAAAATATCTAAATAAAACACTTTTTATCTTTATTTACTGATTTACAGGAATTTACAACCCATGTTAGGGTTTTATCTATTTATACTTCACCTTTCCTGATAGTATCTGTTTAAATATAATCCCGGTTATTGTATTGGTAAACAAAGTGTACTATTGGTAAACAAAGTGTACTATTTGGGCATATTTCTGCATGTTGCAATAAATTTCATTTATTTATTACTGTTTAAGCCTCATTCTGTTTAGGATTTTGACCAAAGTGTTTGTAATTTAGAAATAAGTCCAAGCTACCCATCATAAAAAAATGTTGTCTTTGACATTGCATAAATATTAAAATTTTAATGTTAATTAACCTGGCACAATAAACTTTACCCAGCAAGGTTGAACACATACTTTGGTGTTTTCTTGCTTCTTTTCTTTCTTCTCTTCTTCGACCCCTGAAATCATAAGAAAAAGGCCTCATTATTCTTCAAACTTCGGTCCCTGATAATGAACTGTTGATAGTACTATAAACAACAATAAAAAACCAGCACTTTATATAAATAAATTTTTAAATTACTAAAAACCGGCTCTTTGACCTCGCAAGTCTACATTTGTTGCATAAAATGTGCTGGGTGTTGACTCTAAGTTTACACCTATTTGTCCAGACTGGATGTTACGAGTGAATACATTTACAGTACATGTTGTACAGACTCAGATTTAGTTTTGAGTTAAAAATTTCTTCAAATTATTTTTTACTTAAAGGAAGATACTATTTTCTACAGAATTAACTAAAAATGAGAAGTTTTCTTTGTGAACAATCAAATTTGCATTCCATACAAAAAGAAATGAAGAACATTTTTTTTAATGGGAGTGTTTTTTAATGTCATATGTCATATATTGCATGCATCATATTTTGCATCTGTCAAATGTCATATCTGTAAATTGTTTTACCTGTCAAATGTCTTATCCATAAAATCGTCCCAAATGTCATATGTCACATTTAAGAAATTATGAAATTTCCCCCAAAAAATATTTTTTAAATTAAATTTTCATTTTATCCATAAAAAAAATAATTTGAAGAAATTTGCTAAACCAATATTTTTGAGATAATCACTTCATCGATTTTTTTAACTTGTTAAGTTGATTATTTTTACAAACCAAATTTTTAACAGCAGATCAATAATTTTTTAAAATAAACTCAAAAAACATTGATTTGCACATTTCACCATTCCAAAGGAATCATATGTTGCCAATTTTGGCTTTCCAAATCTTTGAGTTTCAACACATCACAACAGGGTTGTTAATCATTTCCGATTGGTTTTAAATTGTTTTCAAAAATGATTTTTTTTAATTTTGGAAAAAATGGATAAGCAACCATTTTTTATACGATTGTTTTTTAAAAAACGATCGTTAACAAAGGGTTGTCATTAACCATCATTAACAAAGGGTCGTCGTAAACAATTGTTAACAAAGGGTGTCGTTAGCGATCGTTAATGAAGGGTCATTGTTAACAATCGTAAACAAAGGGTGTGGTTAATGATTAGAAGGGTTGTCATTAACGATTGTTAATGAAGGGTTGTCTTTGTCATACATACTGGATAAGTTGTGGGGAGCTAAAACTTCTTGATATTTTCTTTAAAACTACTCAATGATAAGTACCAATGCCCTTTAAGTCGGTTTCCTTTCTCCTCCTCTCTACGTTATCATCAGGATAATAATAATAATCAAAATCATCTTCTTCTGTGACCTTCTCAGAATTTCTAGAAAAATTAATAAATTGGAAGTTTAATATTGGATTTCTAAATGTTTGATTTTGTTTTTTGATTTTAAACAGAAATTCCAAAATGTTTTAAGAAATTGTTCAAGAAATCTCCTTTTTTAATTATAAAATACCTTTTGACCATCCTCAATCACAGAGCTAACATTTAAAAAAACTTTTTTTTTGTGTTGAAAATTGATTCCAGTTATAAAGTTAGAGAAGTGAATAAACACGGGACTTTAAGCATAATTTCTAGTGACCATCCAGACAAAGATGACAACACACGATTTACAACGATATCCTCAAAATCTTTGTCTAATCAAGAATGAAATATACATCAATGTTTTAATTTCTTTAAACTGTTAATTTTCCTTTGTGGTTTCTCTGCGAAACTACTTATTTATAAGAAGAAATAGTGAAAATAGAATAGAGAAAATTCCATTCTTGACTTGAGTACGGTTTCAAGGGTACCATTGTTAATCGGGCATTGCCAGTGTTGGATGCAGGGTCACTTAAAATTTTGCCTAGAGTCCCCGCCTCCCTCCTTCACTGAGATACAGATAGAGGTAAATTATGAAACAAATTTAATAAAGCAATTTATATTTTTACTTAATTTCTACGGATGAACATTCATTCATATCATTTTTCCAGTCCAAATGACTACCCATTTTTTAACCTCTTAAAAATAATATAACTAAAAAATGAAAACTTAAAAAAAAAATATATACAAAATTAGCAAACTAAAATGATAGTGAATAAACGAGCAAAGAACAGGGGGCTTTTAGATGATCATCATATGTTATCGATCAAAAACATGCTCAAATGTTTACATATACATTACAATTTATTTAGTTTTCAGAATTTGTCCTAAAATATCAGGAAATTTGTTTCAGAGGGGCCCTAACTAACCCCCATTACTCCTTAATAATAATTTTTATAAGATAAAAGGTATTGTACGTTAACAATCTCACATTGTTAGTGTTAAACTATTATTAACAATCTCACATTGTTAGTGTTAAACTATTGTTAACAATCTCACATTGNAAATCTAAATCAGTGACCGCGGTCATGATCAATTCTATCATCATCATTCATGATGATAGAATCAAGGGTGGATGTAAACCCACCAAGGATGTAGAACCATAGCCTAGTTCATTCAACCCAAGCTAAAACTTTATCATCAGTTGAGAACTGGACAAACAAATAATAATGATTTAACCCGTTACTCTGCATCTATTACCAAGGAGGATAGGAAATTTCCAGGAGAACGAGATTGGAACCCTCGTGACCCTTATCTGGAGGAACATGGATAACGGTACTTTCGTCGGCAGAGAAAGCAAACTAGGCATGCATTTTCTCCCCGATAAGAGAGTTAGTCTTGATGAAGTATCAGAAGAGAGCGGTCGATAACAGCTCCAGTAGCTCCGAGAGGAGAATTAGCTCCATCTATGATTCCAGGATTAACTTTGATTGATCCTCAGTTTGTATTTTAATAATAATGTAAAATAAACGCCCGTGCAAAGTTAGTGCTTTAATCGATTCCATCTGGCTTGTTATATTGAGTTTCTCTTTGTAAAGTCTCCTTTATTGAGTTCTTTAGATATGAGTTTCTATTAAGTTTATAGTATAGTATAGTTGAACTGAGATTACAGTATCATTGAGACATTTTGTAGGATTCATTTGAGAAATATCAGACATTTTTACGGTGCATTTAATAAATATATTAAGATCCCTCATATCTTGGAAACCTGAACTTACCTGTATATATATATATTACGTTTTAATCACCTGACCGTATTAATGGTCAATTTAATCTTTATCTGTATCTTATTCTAAGATATGGTTTGTTAAAAATGGACCGTTAGAAATATCTTGCTCAGTAGATAGTATAGAGTTCTTTAGTTTTGTGTGTCGACAAATACATACTTAGGAATTCTTAGAGAACTTTATCTGGATTGATCCATTCTTAAGAAAACAGAGAGGGTTGTATCTGGATTGATACATACTTAAGAATACAGAGATAGCTGTATCTGGATTGATACATACTTAAAGAACTATTGGAGTAAGGCATTAAAGTTACATGGATATTTGTTTAGCAAAAGCGCAAATTCAATCATAAAAATTCTCATAGATTGTCCATTTTGGAGGGATGATTTTGAGAATCGGTTTTATAAAAATTATTCAAAAATGTAAAAAAAATTCTACAGAAAACTAATAAGATGTTTAGAAACATATTTCTCTTTAGAAATTTGTCAATAAATCAATGTTAGAATAAATTGTTTCTTTTTCATCATATTGATTTTAAGATTCTTTAAGGATTTGTTTGTAGAGTTCTTAAAATTCTTCAAATGTCGTCTTTTCATTAAAAATTCTAGGAAATCCACAGAAAACGGGTTTGAACATTGAGACATTACTGAAAGCAATAATTCTGAATGTGATTACTTATTTTCGATGATCATCCCTACAAAATGGACAATCTTTGAGGATCATAAAGATTGCATTTGCGCTCTTGCTGAACAAATATGTACAGTAAAAACTTCTGATAGTTCTCAAATAAATCCTAAATAATTTCTGCACTCTCAATTCAACTACCATAAATTGCCGGTCACTCCCTTTAAACGCTAATCATGATCAACATTTAAGAATCTATTATCGTTTTTTATCTTTAAAATTGTTAAATCTTAAAATTTCTTTCTTTTTCTCGGTTTCATAAATCCGCAAGGCAATTTGCAGAAAAAAAACAATGAAAAAAATTAAATATTTTGATTTGTATTTAAAAATCCGTTAAAAATAGCAAAAAAAACTTTTTGTATTTTATTATTGAAAATATTTAGATTTGGAAACTAAGCGTTTTCTGTAATTTTTGAAATTATTTTTAAGCGCTTTTCTTTGTGAGTTGAGTTTATTAACTGAATCTAAGGCAGTTTTGGTTGATAAGAAAATGTTTGATAAGATTGATAAATTTTAATTATTTACAACTACTTGATAGGGAAGTTAAGGAAATGTTACATTACCAATGGTTCCCAATTTTGTCTACAAAATATCCAGAGCGCAGTGAGGGATGTTTTGTAGACAAAATTGGTTGAGGGAACCCGTAGTTAAATACAATTTGTAATTTCCCGAAAAAGTAGTTGTAAGTGATTATTTTAAAATAATGACTGGAAGTAGGTCTAAATATAGCTTTAGTCTGGTAAAAGTAAAATAAGTCACTGTAAGCGTAATCTGAGCGACCCTCCATATATTTACAACAGTCCTCTTGAGATCTTAATCTAATTAAAAATGAGGAAGATTCCGTCGTTTTCTTGACTCGTATAAAAGTGTTTATTTCTTTGAATTTCTCCATTTCTTCTTATTGACAAGAAATGCGCAACTCGCAAGTCACTTTTGCGGAAAAAAACTTAAATGAAAGTATTAAAAAGTTTAAAGAAAAAAAAATGGACATCTATTTTACACTTGATCAGACAAAGCTTGAAATTCCACCATTGTCATCTTACACTTGAGATTATGCTTACAGTCCCTTTAACCCTATTATTGCTGGGGGGAGGGGGTCAATTTGTATATTTTTTATTTAACTCAAACAGTATTTGTCTCAGGCTGTTGAAATTTTCTGACTTTTCCTAAATATCCATAGCCCTCCCTTTAAGTGGTTTTTTACACTGAATAAAGACTTGATCCCTTTAGCGTGGAGTCTGACCATTTTAGGGAAAATGATACTTTACTTGGATTTAAACTTGG